ACTCGACAGCATGGGTTTGGTTTTTTTATACTCACGGAAGGGGTTGTATAACATTTTGGAACACAATTTAATTTTTCCTTCCTTCTCCACTGGTATCCCACACTCTCACCCCCTGAGAGTTAAGATGTGGGTTCATGTTCATGGCCTCTGTGGAGACCTGTAGCAAATAAGAGCTGGGAAATAAAGAATACCCTCCAAGACCTTCTGGTTCTTTTACACCAACACATAAGGCCTCAAGTGGGGAGGAGACTTGGTGAAATTGAGACAATATCTTGGAGAAGCTGGGAGGGTGGAGACTTTTCTACTTCCTACCATCACCGCTCCCTCACTAGAAAGATTTACTCTGGTTGGGGAGTGAGAGGAGGAGGAAGAAAGAAAACAGGAGAGAGAAGAGTGACCTGTGGGTCCCAAGGTCAGAATCATGGTCAGGCACCGAGAAAAGCTCCCCCACCCCGTTCAAGGCCTAGCTCTTCCGGTATTCTTAAGTGACCACCTGCCTGAGGAGGGGTGGGGGAGTCCCTGCTCACGCTGAGGTTCACTCGGTCCTTGTCTGACGCTGGGGCCATTGCTGACATGGTGGTCTGCACGGTCAACAAGAGTGGTTTCTCTGAGGCAAAGCTCACTCCTCAGGAAGGTCATCTCTGGGACCATGTCTCTTGCTGTTCCCTGACAGCAATCAACATCCGCAGACACTTTTCTAGACTAATGTCCCATTAACTTGACTCGAGCAGCTAGCTGGGCCTCGTAGGGCTCTGGCCCCTCCACAGGACCCCATGAAGTGCTATCTCGTCTTCCACAGGCTCCCGGGCCGGGAAGAGCTGGGATGCGGCACGGTAGAGCACTTCACAGCAGGCACAGGATTCCAGCAGCCCACTACCTGCCAAAATCTCTAGGCCAGAAACAGTGCCAGTATGTTTACATCCACCCTTAGCTCCGGGGCAGATGGCATCCACTGGGGAAGGATACGCAGGCACCGGGTCTCTGAGTGATTCTCCTGCAACCCGCTCCCACCCCGACGTGTCTCTCGGGACTACTGTAATCCTCCGAGCTTCTCTCCTCCTTCTGTTTAAGCTAGACTGAATTGGGTTTTTGTCAGTTGCAGTCAAGAATTCTAACAAACACAAATCCATATTCACTCCAGACACAAAAATAAATTTCAGATGGATTAAATATTTAAGCTTAAAGAACAAAACGATGAAAATATTGACCTGTTGCCGTCGAGTCAATTCCAATTCATAGTGACCCTATAGGACAGTGTAGAACTTCCCCATAGGGTTTCCAAGGGCAGCTGGTAGATTCGAACTGCTGACCTTTTGGTTAGCAGCTGTAGCATTTAACCACTGTGCCACCAGGGCTGCAAACAAAGGGCTTGTCCAAGATTTGAACCTGGGACCTCTCCCACCTTAAGCGAGAATCATACTCCTAGATCAACGAGTCGCACATGAAAATACTAGTAGAAGAAAATTTGTGTAATTTTGGGATGGGATGTTGATGTTGTTGTGTGCCATTGAGTCAATTCTGACTCACAGTGACCCTGGAGGACAGAGCAGAACTGCCCCATAGGGTTCCTGAGGCTGTAGGAGCAGATCGCCAGATGTTTTCTCTCGAGGAGTCGCTGGGTGGGTTTGAACAGCCGACCTTTTGGTTAGCAGCCTAGTGCTTAACCTTTGCACCACCCAGGCTCCTTTGGGATGGGATAGCCTTCCTAAAAATTGGATACAATCCAGTGGCCATAAAGGTAAAGATGGAAAAATTTCATCTACATAAAAATTACTTCTTTATGACATAAGATATCATGAACAAAGTAAAACAAAAACAAAAAACCACAACAGACTGGAGAAAATATTTGAAATTTTGCAACACATATGATAGAAGAGGGTTGTTGTTAGGCGCGTCGAGTCAGTCCCAACTCACAGTGACCCCGTGTCTGACAAAACAAAACACTGCCCAGGCCTGCACCACCCTCACAATTGTTCTGATGTTTGGGCCCATTGTTGCAGTCACTGT